TTTTTTTATAATTTAAAGACTAAAAAAATAAAAAAAAATAATTTAAGAAATAAGACTCAAATTAACATTTAACCTTATTACTACTGGTTTTTTTTTTTCCAAGGGACGGGGTGGGGGTAGCGGTGGCGGTGGCGGTGGCGGTGGCGGTGGCGGTGGGAAATTTTGCCTGTGATAACGCTGTCTTCAGGGATTTAGCGGGAGAGGGTTTCCTCCTCATTCCCTTCGAGGCTTTTGACCAGAAGCACTGTCGAAATTCAACGCTGAAAATGTAAAACCCGAAAGGAGTGTTGACTTGGTCATGCGAAGAAAGATTGGTGGACAAGGACTCAGAGCAGAATGACTTTGACAAGGGAGATAACTTTCTCCACATGATCACACACAATAGCACTGCAGCCTGCCGGTCTTTCTCCCTCACAATCACACCCCATTCCCACTTGCGCTTTTTTTTAGTACACAACAAGCTTCATGGCATTGAGAACACGTAGGAAGAAGCAATGAGAACAAGCAGGTGGGTACAAAACGAATAACAATTCTTAGTCTTGGTCGTCGCCTTTGTTTTGTATTTTCTCTGTTTCTTTGCTTCTGCAGTTCTATATTCCCGTCCAAGACGAATTAATTCTATATGGGGTAATGGGGTATGATTTCTTGGTCTTTGTCAGTCCTGTGCTTGATTTGATTTTCAGGCTAATTTCCTTCCGGTTTCCGGCAACCCTGAATCTTTCTTCTCCCTTTATATAATTCCATTCAATGCTTATTTTCATGTATTCATCTATTTGATTATCACTTCTTTCATTCTTTTTTTTCTTTTTTTTTTTCCTTTCCTTTGCAAGCTTTGTTTTCACTGTTGTATTCAGGAAAGGAACCCATTAAAGGATTGATTACCCCAGACCATGGGAGATCTTTAGGGCTTGTGCTTTTTCCTGCCTTTCTTCTCAATCCAAGCATCAAACAAAGGTTAGTTTCATTGCGTGAAGGATTGATGAATAAAAGATTTGATGAAACCCTAACCCTGAGTCTTTCAAGTCCTAGTATGAGTGCTAGTCCGAGTTGTAGTAGAGAATCAGAGTATGTTACTGACATGGAATCAGAGAAAGAAATTGAGGAGGAAAGAATTAATCTTGATATTGATGATGTTGTTTCGCAACTAAAGTTTGGGAATGATGAAGAATTCAAGTTTGCACTGTTGGGGTTAAATCATTTTGTTAGGGAAAAAATGATTACTGATGAACAAATAAATGAGGAAGGACTCATTGCAATTCTGTTTAGTCGCTTGGTTTCTTGTAAGCCAAATAACCGCTTGACTATCATTCAGATACTCAGAAGCCTGGCCATCCACAAACCTGAACACAAGGTAAAACTGCATTTTAGATTGTTCTTTAGTTTCAAGTAAAAATATTAAATTGTTGGTTATCTTACCTAGGGTATAGTTTTAACAGGAGAAGATGGTTGATGTTGAGTGCCTATCAACTTTGGTGAAATCTTTGACTCGGGATGCAAAAGAGCAAAGGGAAGCTGTGGGGCTGTTATTGGATCTCTCAGACCTTCCTGCAATATGGCGGCGACTTGGCAGAATACAAGGGTGTATTGTTTTGTTAGTCACTACTCTTAATGGGAATGATCCAATTGCTTCACAAGATGCAAGGAAACTGCTAAATGCCTTGTCAAGCAATACTCAAAATGCACTTCATATGGCAGAGGCTGGTTACTTCAAGCCACTAGTGCACTACTTAAAGGAAGGTAACTGGTGCATTTTAATTTTCTACTCCACATGTTTGGTGAAACTTAATTCTATTTCTATCAAGTCTGTGAATTTGAATTTAAAAGTCATTTCCTTGCTAAATTATACATGCCATGCCTTTCCAGGATCTGACATGTGTAAGATCCTCATGGCAACGGCACTGTCAAGAATGGAGCTCACAGATCAAAGTAGAGCTTCCATTGGAGAAGATGGAGCAATAGAACCTCTTGCCGAGATGTTTATTACTGGAAAGCTTGAAGCAAAGTTATCTTCTTTAAATGCACTGCGAAATCTGTCCAACTTGGCTGGAAATATACAACGTTTGACCAGCACTAATATTGTCATGTCCCTGCTTCAGCTCCTTTTCTCAGTGACATCAGTGCTCATGACTCTTCGGGAGCCAGTGTCAGAAATACTTGCAAGAATTGCGCAGTCAGAGTCCATTCTTGTTAATCCACAAGTGGCTCAGCAGATGTTGTCCCTCTTAAATCTCTCAAGT